AGTTGCTCCATGGCCTCATCAACACATGGCATTGTCATTCTTTTACATTTTTTTTTAGTCATTCTAGTGAGTATGTAGTGGTAACTCACTGTGCTTGTATTTTAGAATTGCCCTAATGACTATGATGTGGAGGACTTTTTCGTATGTTAGTTTATACCTACATATCTTATCTTCCTTTGTGAAGTAACTGCTCCAATCTTTTGCCCCTTTTCTTTTTTACTGACTTCTTTGTCTTCTTCTTCCTGAGTTGTGAGGGCTCTTTATATATTTTAGATACAAGTTCTTTACCACATGTATGTTCTGAAAATATTTTTCCCAATATAGGACTTTCCTTTTTACTTTCTTAGAAGTGTCTTTTCAAGTGTTGTAATTTTGAGGAAGTCCAACCTATCCATTTTGGTTTCTTTTACAAGTCATGCTACTTGTCTCCTATTTAACAATAATTGCTTAGCTTCAATGTGCTATGATTTTCTCCTCTGCTTTCTTTAAGAAGTTTTGTAATTTTAGTTCTTACATTGAGGACTAGTTAAATTTTTACATACACTGTGAGGTGAGGGTCATGATTTATTTTTCTTTGACATAAGGATATCACATTGTTCTAACACCACTTAGTGAAAAGACTCTCCCATCTCTATTGAATGGACTTGGGTCCTTTGTCAAAAATTAACGACATACATGTGTGCTCTACTTCTGGACTCTTTATTGTGTTTCGTTGATGTGTATGTCTAAGTTGACAACAATACCACAGTGTCTTGATTACTGTAGCTTTATAATAATTCTTAAAATGAGGTAGTCCTGAAACTTTGTTCTACTTCCCAAAATTGCTTTGGCTTTTTCAGGTCTACTCTGCTTCCATTTGAATTTTAGAACAAGTCTGTCAATTTCAATTAAAAAAAAGAAAAAAGAAAAAGCCGTCTGGGATTCTGACTGGGATTGCTTTGAATCTACAGAACAATTTGGGGAGAAATTACACTTTTGAATGTATACATAGGATACAGCTTTCCATTTATGCAGTTGTACTTCAATTTCTCTCAGCAACATTTTGTAGTTTTTACTGAACATATCTGGCACACATTACCTTCAATTTTTCAAGCATTTTTTACACATTTGCGTGAATATAATTTTTTACGGCTTTTTGGAAATAAGATTTGACATACGATAAACTAAATCTATTTGAAGTGTATAACTTGATATGCATAATTTGGTATGTGTACATCTATATACACAGTAAAATCATCATCCCAGTTAAGATAATGAACATATCCATAACCCCTAAAAGCTTTTTTGCCTCTTTGTTATTCTCCCTCTTGCTCTTCACAGCTTGACCCTCCCCACTCCTAAGTGTGGCAACCACTGATCTTTCAATCACTGAAAATTAGTTTGTATTTTCTAAAATTTTACATAAAGGTAATCATAATATATGTTCTTTTTCATCTTGCTTCATTCACTCATCCTAATTATTATTAAATACATCCATGGTATGTCTCCATAGCTCATTCATATTTATTACTGAGTAGTATTCTATTGTATGGATATATCACGATTATTCATTCAGATTGGACATTCTGTGTTTTTCCTCTAGTTTCCAGCTTTTACAAATAAAAACTGCTATGAATATTGGTGTACAAGTATTTGTGTATATGTGTGCTCCTATTTCTCTAGGGTAAATCTCTATATGAAGAATGGTGGGTCACATGGTAGGTATATGCTTAGCCTCTGAAATTCCAAATGGTTTTTCAAAATGGCTGGATCCAGACTGTGGATCACGGTGGACGGGCACGCACGCCGGAGTAACTTATTCCACAGCTTTCATGTGCATGCTGGTGATAAAGGTTTGTTTATTCATCAACTATTACTGAGTAACCACTGAATGGAATAAACCGGGTCAGGCATAGAGATAAAGCAATGAACAAGACAGCCATGATTCCTGCCCTTGTGGGGCTTACATTCTAGAAGAAAAGCAGACATTAAACAATATACTTCACAATTAATTATTTGCTTACAAAGAGGTAGAATGCTCTGAACCTAACCTCCCTGAAAGCTTCTCTGAGATAGCAACAATTGAGCTGAGTGCTGACGGATGAGTAGCAATTAATAAGATAGATATAATCCAAATGCACTGTGCTCAGCACAAGAAAGTAGCTCTGGGTTCCAACATAACTCCCCTTGGACATAAATTTTTGTTAACAGATTTATTAATTCACTTTATCAGTCAGGCTTGCTCCCAATTCCTGCATGAAATAATCCCAGGCTTTGGCCAAAAACAAACAAATAAACAAGCAAACAAACAAAAAACAGGATCAGGAGCCCCATCACCTTCTGTCTTTTGACTCAACACAAAAGCAGGTACCCTCTCTAGAACAGTAATGTCCCAAGAAGAATGGAAACAACAACCTTTCCCATGAACCACAGCGGAGTCATGAGTGGGATAATGGGAATAACCATAGTAGCCGCCATTATAGCAGCCAACATGGTGTCTTGTAAAGTGCAGAGGATACTGCCTACCACATAGAAGGAGCAGTCACTGAGCATTCTCTTTCCATGTGCTAGGCACTACGGAATTTTCTATGTACACAATAACTTAATGAAGTGGATATTGTTACTGCCATTTTATGCAAGAATAAAATAACATCCAGAGAGATTAAAAAGCTTGTCCATGGTCATTAACTAGTCAGTGAAAGGGCAGGAATTCAGGTCCAGAGCTATCCTAACTTTGTCCATTATATTAACTACTATGCAAGAAATAACTTTTACAAAGTTACCCCAAAGCACCAATGGTAGGGATGCCTGAGAAACCTGTTTGTTTTCCTTAGCATCAGGATAACTCTGTGAGAGACAACTGATACGCTCATGGCTCTTCGTACTACTTTTGCAAACCAGTAGTCTCTGACAGGGTAAAATCTTAGAGGACCGCATAGTGTAGACAAACTTGGACTGAAATTCCAACTCTTCCACTCATTAGCTGTGTGACTGTAGATAAGTTATCTAACCTTCTTAGTCTTAGTAAAGAATGAGAAAAGCAGTAACTGTCTTGCAGATGTGAGAAAAGATCGTAAGTAATATAAGAACACCCAGAACATTCACTGGAATACAGAGAGTAGTTATGAAAGTTCGCCTTCCATGGCATCTAGAGAAGATTCAGATTAATGTAGAGGAGGTGTTTTCCTGCCTGCCACTCCTCCAATAGGCAGGTACTTCCTTCAAGGTGATGTGGAATCAAACACAGGTCATCAGAGGAAAGAGCGGAAGAGGCTTGAAACAAACTCAAGGTTGAAAGAAATCCCAGGGTTCAATATACATAACATCTTAAGATTTCAACTCAAGGTCAAAAGGAATACGTTTAGTCCACCTTTCTTTCTTTTTTTTTAGAGAGAGAGCATGAGCGGAGACAGGGAAAGGGAGAGAGAGAGACTCTTAAGCAGGCTCCACTCCACGACAGTGAGATCATCACCTGAGCCAAAATCAAGAGCAGGACACTCAACCGAATGAGTCAGCCAGGTGCCTCAAGTCTGCCTTTCTTTCACTAGACTTCATTTAGCCCAACTGAAAATACTGAGGAGGGAGCACTCTATCCATCTTGGCTATATCATTCCAAATGTTCCCTTTTATCCACCTCCCTTTCACCACAAAAAAACAAAACAAAAAAAAAAAAAAAACCATGAATATATTCTGAAGCCACTATATGCAACGAAGAGAGGAAACACTGGCCAAAAAAAAAAAGGTCTTTTTGCCATGAGTTGGCTAGAGAAACAAGTAGGTAATTCGCTTTTTTTTAAAAAATGGGAATGATAGTGTGCTACAAATCATCTAATATCCTAGATGTGATAATGTAAAAGACATCTCTGTGAATGAGAATAAACCCAAAAAGATGACACACATGTTTGATTAGCCACTCTCACGCCTTTCACCGGCCAGTAACTATACTGACTGTATCACACACCAGCCTAATTCACAACAATTTCTGTTACACTCAAACTTAAAAAAACAAACAAAGAACTTGAGCTTTTAATTTTTGGTGGTGGTGACAGGGGGATTCCTATTTCTTCCCCTGAAAATCCACTTCTAGCTTAAGGGTTAGAAAATGAACTTCTATAATAAATATACAATATAGAATATATATTCATTTAATAAAATCTGAGTGCCAAATATGGCCTCGTATAATAACATTTCGTGATTTCCTAGAACCTCAACTTCAGCAAACCCCGAGTCAACTACAAAGACAGCTGCCTCTCTCATGGGCAGGACGAGTGTAGGGGACAGACCGCACCCCTTTCCCTGTGTCGGCCGTGGCTAATTGACGTATACTCTCTGTTTTGCTTAGGTCCGATGCCGCCGTCACATCCCCGCACCGCAGGCCTCCTCCTGCCGCCGTCATGCCATGCATCTCACGCACATCCTCCCTGACAGAGCTCATCAATTCCTATTGCTTTTCACCAGGCCTCGGCTCTGGCACTTTCCCCTGGGGAGACCTTTACTGGTCTCCATACTTAACCCTTGAACCCAGCCTAATCCATCAGCCGCACTGAATGAACGGTGATAGAGCATGTTTCTCCCTAAAGACAGGCAGCCAACCTCTCCACTTAAACCTCAGAAAGAAAGCCATCAACAGGGTCTGCTTTCTGTTTGTCAGCGTCTCCAGCGTCTCTGCTCATTGGCGTTTTTATTGTTGCCGCGCCCAGCTGCTTGAGTCAGGGGAAGTGCCATTCGAGGAGACATCAATTAAGTGCTCGTTAAATGCTATAGACGCTCTTTTGAAAATATCCCCTGGGACTCTCCCTGGGAGTTCCCAAAAGTAGTGGAGGCCACAGCTGTCACTCTAGGATAGGGTTTCCCCAAAGTCTGGGAGAACAGCTTCATAACCCACGCTCTTCTGCACTATGGACTAGGGAGTAGAAACTGTGGCTTTAGACGATGAAATCTAATCCTCTTCATTAGGAAAGACAAGCAACGCTAGGCAAGAAACAGTCAATATGTAAACAGACTGTCTGAAACCTCCTTACCTCATAACCAAACTGCAGCTCATCAGAGGTCAGCATGATGATATCATCGTCGATAGCCAGGACAGCCTCTGTCTCGATTTCGTCGTAAGGGAAGAATCGGTTACTCAATTTGTTTTCAGCAGTCCTCACAACTTTTAATGGAACCCGGATTTTGGGCCAGAGAGAGTCTGGGGGTGGGGGGGAAAAACGAGGCATGCATTACTCTTCTAACCTCTGTGAGGAGATAAAGCAGTGAATGCACCATGCCACAGATGTGATGGAACTTACTTCCACGGCTCCCACTCAACCCACACGTACAACTGTGCACGGGGGAGCTCTTACAGATGCCTGGTTATAAAATTCGGTAAGTACTTCTGTCCTCTCTAGGTCCTCACAACACTACTCAACCTCAAGGCTGTCTTAGCCAGAGTGCACAGATGGCTCCCGCTCACAACTGAGACACAGAGAAGCAGAGAGACCCTAGATCACAACAAGAGGAGGGGTCAAGTCCACACTGTCTCATTCTCAGGCCCAGGGTTTGCTACCAGAATTCCACCGGCTCCCCTGAATACCTCCGGCCAGGCACACCCCAGCTCAAAGCATGCCTCCGCTCTGCCAGCAAAGACAAAGCACGCGCTCGAGGTGTCTGCCCCGATGTGCCGGCCTCCACAATGCAATCGCAAACAGAGATCAATGCCGCTAAAATCCAGCCCTCAAAATGGGTCTCACTGAACAACGTGGGTTTCTTAACTTAGCACTTTATCCCCTCAACCACCCCTTCGCTCTGATTCACTAGGTTTGGTTTCTCATCATGACCAATTTACAGAATAAATATCAAATTTCTAGGTCCAATTATGCGGGATTTTCTAGTATACTGAAGAAACACCAACCCATGACCTGCCTTACATTTTTTGCCATTCTACTCTGAAATGATTGAAGCAATTCAACCACAGGTTCCTCATTTTAAAATGGTGCATTTAGCATAGCACCCCTGTCCATAGACCTCGGGTTCTTTGCAGAGGGTAGTGTGTTCTTCACACAGCATTGTCAAATGACAAGAGGAAAGCTAGGTATCATACTGGTTCCCAAAACTCCATTGTGTAATTGTGGAAAGATGAGATGCAGTCTGCGTGGGTCTTGAAGTTCCAAGTGCCTGTGGCCGCTCCCAGGTCCCCATACTAAAGAGAAGTGTGGTGAGGGAGAGTCAGAAGGGAAAAGGCTGTCTTTACTGCTTTCAGATGAAATATCTCACTGAGGTACATTTTATAGTGTATCCATGTAACACATTGTTGGGACACTTCCAGAGTCCTGGAAGAAGCCGGCACAATGGAGGCCCTGTAATTAAGGAAGGCATTCAGCCTTAAATAAGCACAGAGCCTGAAAAAGCAGTCAACTCCAAGAAGTATGTTTGGGAAAAGACTGAACTGAACACCAAAGAAATGATCCTATGGGTCACTGCCTTTTAATCAATAACAGTAGTTAATTATAGCTTCCTTCTTGGCACAGAAGCACATAATAAATAACTTTGGAATAAATGGATGGACACAGGACTTGAGAGACTGAAGACCTGAGTCCTGTATTACCTATGGGGTCTCAGGCAACTCCTTCTCGTTCTCCTCTAAGAATAAGCAGGGGTGGGGGGAGGGCACCTTTACTAAGCAACTAGTATATGCCACACGCTTTGTAGATGCAATGTCATCCAATCCTCCTGACAACCCTGTGGGGCAGAAATTACTTACAAAGTAGTAGCAGTAGTTACAAGGCTCACAGAGATTAAGTAATTTGGCAGGAGTTACAGAGCTAATAAATGAGAAGGCCTGTGACTGAATCTGAGTCTGTTTAGCATCAAAAACCAAACAGAACATGTACAATCTATTGCAGCTTGAACACCTCATGCTTGTCTAGATCTGGGACAAAACAATGAAGTTCAATGTTTTCTCCAGCAGTCATCCTTATTCTCGTTTGCTCCCCACTCCGTCTTCCAGGTAAATAAAACCCCTGGCATAAATCTACTGTCTAAATCCTTATAAAACATGAATCATAACGTCTAAAATATAAGAGGTTATAGCCCCACCTACTAGACCACTGAGTCTCAAACTTTCTGGTGTCAGGATTCCTATAGGCTCTTAAAAATTGTTGAGAACCCTGGGGTGGGTGTGGGGGGGAGGGGGATATGGGGGATGGGCATGGAGGAGGGCACATTGTTGGGATGAGCAGTGGGTGTTGTATGTAAGCGATGAATCATGGGAATCTGCTCCTGAAGCCCAGAGCACAGTGTATACAATGTATGTTAGCTACCTTGACAATAATTTATATTATAAATAAATATATATATCGTTGAGAACCCCAAAGAAGTTTTCCTTATATGGGATACACACACACACACACACACACACACACACACACACACACACACACTATTTATTTGTATGAGAAATGAAAACTGAGGAAATTTTAAACACAAGAATACACAAGCACACATTCCAGTAGCCACTAGATTGATGTTATCCCATGTTACGTAGCCTCTGAAAAACTCCTCTGTCACCTTGTGAAAGAATAGAGTGGGAAATGGAGGTGACTTAGTATTATTATGAACATAATTTCAACCTCCCACACCCCCTGCAAGATTCTCATGGATGTCCAGGTCCCTGGACCACACTTTGAGAGCTTTTGTGTTCAGATTTGGGTGTCAAAATACGGAGAAAGTTCCAACAACCTGGAGGAGTGTTGTTGTCCAGTCTGGGAGGAGTGACAGGGGCAGTGCAGGCACATGAATCCAGGATTTCTATGGAATGTTTAAAGAAACCAACTGTGCCAGCTGTCAGCGTACTGCCCCTCAGCTCCAATGCCACCCTTCATTGCCCTGTTTCTCATACTGGAACTAGATCCCGTATACATTTCCCTTTTGCCAACTAGCTCAATTCTAGGTTTTGTCTGTGGAGGGTGCTGGAGGGACCCTTGGGAGGGAAGGGGGCTTTTCTTGTACGTTTCAGTGTGCCTCTTTAACTTCCTGCTCCTTCGGTCTTTGGCCAGAAGACAGACAGGCAGCCGCACTTCTCCCCACCAAGTGTAAGTGGCACCTCTAAGGGGCCCCTTCACAACAGGTTCTGCAGAGACCCCCAAGAGCAATGCAGCTGAGGGACCCTCGCCATGGGTGGTTCCACGGGAGCTCACTGAAGCCCTCAACAGTTTCCTAGTAAATTCAAGAACACGCTCTGGGTAGCTTCCTATTGAATTCCGTGGGTACTGAAGGGGGGCGGTAGGTTTCCTGGTCACCAGACTGAGCCTGCAACCCCCACACACTTCACTATGCAGTGGGCTACGTATTGTCACACGCTCTCCAACAAGGTCTGAATCTCACATCTAGCTGGGGAAGGGGCTCCTGTTATCTTGACAGTTTTTACTTCTTAGTCACCAATCACCCGTTACTGGTTAATGATTCTTTATATTAAACTTTTCCTGTTCAGGTTACTGGTGGTTTCAGTCTTCTACATTGGCCTTGACTAATACATTAGGCTATCAGGAGGGTTATCAGATGAAAGGGGAATTGTTCTCCATGGCCTCTAAAGTTAGAACCATGACCGGTAGCTGGGTGAAAGTTGCAGGGAAACTGATTTAGATTCAAAATAGGTAGGAATCTTCTGATGGCAGAAACTGTTTTAGATACAGTGAAATGCCTTCAGCAGTTCAATGCACCCTTTTACTTGAAATGTACTAATTTAGGTCAGATTTCTACTCGACATCATATGAGAAACCAAACAAGATGTCTCTAAGGTCCGGGATCACATAAGACAGTAATATATCATAGAAAGAACAGTCTCTGGGGGTGCCTGGGTGACTCAGTCAGTTAAGCATCTAACTCTTGATTTCGGCTCCGGTCATGATGCCAGCCAGGGTCATGGGAACAAACCCTGCATTCACTTGGAGCCTGCCTGGGATTCTCTCTCTCTCTCTCTGTGGCTCCCCCACTCACACTCACTTTCTCTCTAAATAAGAAAGAAAGAAAGAAAGAAAGAAAGAGAGAGAGAGAGAGAAAGAAAGAGAGAGAGAGAGAAAGAGAGAGAAAGAAAGAAAGAAAGAAAGAAAGAAAGAAAGAAAGAAAGAAAGAAAGAAAGAAAGAAAGAAAGAAAAAGAAAGAACGAACGTTCTTTGGGAAGAGCTTCAAATCCCAGGTGTACTCCTTACTAGTCATGTGATCCTAAACAAATCAATCGTGTTTAACCTGTGTCTTCAACTACGAAGACAGAATAATAACACTATCTTCCCATCACTGACTGTGAGAATGAACATGAAAGCACTTAGCAGCACAGCGCCTGGCACATGGCAGATATCCAGTAAATGTTAGCTGTGCCTTCCTTTGAACATATGTGTCTATTTATAGAACCAAAGGACTTCTTTTGAACCTTAGGGGTGGCAAAGTGGTATATGTTAGATCTGATACATTACTCTGAAAATCCAGTGGCATCACCCAGCTTGTACCTTTCATATCCACTTTTATGTATGTATGTATGTATGTATGTATGTATGTATGTATTTACTGAGAGAGAGAGAGAGAGAGAGACAGAGACAGAGACAGCGTGAGCCAGGTAGGGGCAGAGAGAGAGGGAGAATTCCAAGCAGGCTCCACACGGTCAGCACAGAGCCCCATGTGAGGCTCGAACTCACAAACGGTGAGATCATGACCTGAGCTGAAATCAAGAGTTGGACACTTAACCAACTGAGCCACCCAGGTGCCCCCATATCCACTTTTAAATAAATAGGATCCCTGCCATTATTAATCCTCTAGAGCTGAGACAATGGAACACAGAAATGAAGCAAAAGAACACAAAGTAACAAACAGCTCCTCTTTCTGCAGTGTGTATAGACAACAGGCTAGCTGCTTGGGTTGAGTATGAACTTTCTTCTACCCTGCATGGGATTTGGACTTCCACTTGGTGAATGTGCACAGCATGTTCGAAGCACAGACGGCTTTCCACATATATCACCTACATAGCCAAAGAATTACTTGAGACAATATCCATAGGGAACTAACTTGCCCCTGCCCTTGTAAAGTCTTTGATGGGGAAGTTTTAGGGAACGATGCAGGGCCAAGGAGGATGATATGGGCCAAGGAGGTGAAGATGGACACGGGACTACCCTTCCCTGTTCCGAGTCACACCTCGGTAGCCAAAAGTCAGCCAGGGCAAGAGCAGTCTCCACCTCAACAGTCAGCTGTCTATGCACCATCATTACCACAGACAGGCCTCCCAACAGAACTCCCAGTTTCTCACTTTCACATTTTCAAGTAAAATAGGCCTCCAAGAAAAGGAACTACCATTCGCCCAGGCTTCAGCATTCCTTCTGTGGAGGGCAGCACCAAAAATAAACATTATAAATTACCCCCTGCCCTTAAAGTAGATAATTCTGACATGGGATTTTGATTGTTTAAAAAATTAGGACAGAAGCTCAAGGTAGGAGAGAAAAATATGGGTGAGAAAGAAGAACTTTTTCTCCCCTTTCCATTAGTATTTTCAAAAGAACAGACTTACTCTTCTGTCTCTCTTTTGAGTCCCTGACAAGGACCTAGTTCGTCTACATAATCCCAAATCAGAGAACAGACAAAGCGTGATGATTTGCCTACTACTAAATGGTAATCCAAATAGATACAGTGGGGCTTTGTGCAAAGGGCATGAGCTTCGCATCCACAGAGACACGTGTTTATTTCTGGCTCTGCCATTTGCAGTTTTGTGATTCGGGCAAATCACACGTCTCATCGGGAGTTTCATTTTTGTAAAATGGGAATAAGAACAGCTTCCTTGCAGGTTTGTCCTAAGGACTAGAGATAATATGTGTAAAGCACCTGGCACAGTGCCTGCTCCTGGGATTTAAAAGGTACATAATACGTGGTTATAAAAACATCGTATCGTTTTCATCTTTATAACTGGGTTCTTGTAAAGTCTCACAAACTTCACTTCTCCCGTGATAATCTGAAGAGGTGTAGACACACGGCTGTGGGAGGCCCCTTAGGATGCAGAAGGACACAGTAAAGCATAGCCAGAGACCTTCAGGCTCCAATTCCATTGCTGAGCCCAAATGGGGTCTCTTTTTCTGTACTCCTTCTAAATTCTAAATGAATTCAAAATAATGTACCTTATGTCTCATCCTGTGAATCTGCAGCTGGCAAAATAAAAATGTCACCTTCCATTCACACAAAGTAGTCTGAAAAACAAGGGTTTTCCAAGCACATTGCTGAATTTATGAAAAACAAACAGCTGAGCCAGGTGACCTGATAACTTCACAGTTAGGAGCTTTAGTCTAGCTCTAAGGAGAAAAAGAACTCCTTGTGTTGAGGGTTTTTTTTTAATGTGTACTGATTAATGGTTTTCTCCACATTGGATGCCAAGAAAGATGTGAGCAAAGAGAATTTTCCCTCCATCTTGGCAAAGGTACTATAAAATGCTCAGGTTGACTGAAGATGACCTCAAGCCCATCCTGGCCAACACTGTCACAAACACAACCACAGACCCATAAAATAAATGGTCAGATTATCTCCATACAAACCTTGAGCTCACTTCTGGAGTGCTCAAGCTGCCGGTGTCCAGCTGGTCCCCATGACGTTAATTCCCCACAGTCCCAGAATTCAGCACAAATGCAAGGTGGCTGGCTGTGACTTCTACTTCTCTGTTGCCTCCTCTGGGTTGACCATCCCAACACACTCAGCCCAGCCCGCCTGCTAACAACTATCAAAGTCACAATCTGAAGCCAGGGAGCTCCTGAGGTCAATTCAAATTTAACACTGAAATCAGCTAAAACAGAAGGCTGAGTTAAACCTGTCTGAGATGTACAATGTAAGAGCTTCCTTCACACGGAGGCCAGGGGCCAAGCCAAACAACCTCTATATCCATCAAGTTTGGAAACTGAAGAGCTGGGGAGGACGAAGGCAGTGGCTTGCCTTTTTTTTTCTGACAGAGCTCGAAACCGATGTGACGAAAGCTCACTGGAAATTTCTATTGCCTAGTCTAAGTATTTACTTAAACTTCAAACCCAGCAATTTAGGCTTAAATGTAACCAAAAAGCAAAAAGTATTTGGTTGTGTTGGAGAGTGAAAAAAAAAAAAAAAGTGGTGGGGGGAGCTGGGGGGGGGTGGATTTCTGCCTACATTAACCCTCCCGGCAGCAGACATGTTCACCGCAATATTTATTTTAGTAAATGTAGAGAAAGTGAAAAACATCATTTTCGCCTCTAATATTTCAAAGGCTTGGACTTGCTTTATAAAAGATATATATGTTACTAATGCCATACATGCAGACTCAGATGGCTTTGCTGGCATGAGGACCAGAGCTGACAGCCTCATTTACCAACTGAACAAACACCCCACAGAAGATTAAACATGGTTCACGCTCTCCCCAAACAACCACATCGCCAGAGCCTGAGCGGAGACCTAAAAACCACCGCGAGGGAAAAAAAAGCTAGTTCGGTCTCTAAACGTGTCAAATTTGGGGCCTCATCGGTTGAGGGCTCGCTCTCTTCCCTGGAGCCAAAACATTACAAAAATAAACTAAGCTCCTGGTCACAAAATTAACCACATTTTAGCAAGGTCTCCCCAAAATTAAGACTGAACACCCAGCTCCAAAACCTCTAGGTTTGTGTTACTGCTTTCCGTCAAACCAGGGCGAGGCGAGGGCTTCGACTAGGAGGGCAGAGAACGGTTCCTCCCTTCTCACGGTCTGCGAGGGACTCGCACTCACAAGAAACCATTCCCCTGGAGCCCAAAGTGCCTGACCAAGGTGTCTAAGGAAGGAGAAGCCTCCTTTGCATTTAGCTCCAGATTCTGCACCTGTGCCTATCCGGGCGGGCGGGGGCTCCCTCGGAAAGCCGGCGGCCTGCGTGCGCGGGGGCAGGCGCAGGAGGGTGAACGTGGCAGGATGCAGTGAGCTACCGCAGATCCGAGCAGGGACCCACAGCCTTCCTTCTCAAAACAGGACCCGTCCCTTTCAAGTGCCAGACCAAGGAGCAGCACAACAGTGCCGGCCGGCTCACCCCCCCCCCCCCCCCCCCCACCTCCAGGTGAGGCACCGGGCTGGGCCCTCTCCATGCCCCTCCCTGCACAGCTTCCGTTTCCCTCCGCCTTTCCCTTCCTCCTGCCCAGTTCTTCCTCCTCCCCTCTCCTCCCTTTTCCTTCTACCCCTTTCTTGAGAGTCAAATAAATGAAACAAACAAAAATCCAGGAAACTGGTTGTTGGGAGGAAAACGGACTTGGCATAAAAAGATGTACTTAATAAGAAAAGGCACTGTTCTTTGGAGCGTAAAATGGGAGCGTCATTTAAAGTAGACATTTTGTTTACTTAAACCACGGCTCCCTAAATCTAGAGAGAAAGTGTAGGATTCTCTCAGAGAACGAAAATCCCACTAAGGAACATTTCTTAAATGTCTCAGGAGGTACTAAAGAATTTTCTTGGGGGTAATTTCTGATTTGCCTCACAGACAGTAAATGTTCTTCTTCCAGCCTAAACTATAGATCTACCGGGGGCAGTTTCCAGGGTTGACTATCCTGACTTCAGTATTCCCAATTAAAAGAGAATAGCCATAAAAAGTGCAGATACTACTGTCAGGCAATAAACTAGACCTTATCAGTGATAGTGGTGCACATTACAAACTTCAAACTCATTCCTTGCTCTAATCCATCAGAAACTTCCTGGCTTTAATAGGCTATAAAGGGCAGGAGCTTTGAAGTGCCTGGGATTAGGATCAGTAATAGACAGACTGAATGAGAAACTAAATGCAGGTGGAACATACTCTATGCCTCCTGAATGAAAAAGAAATCCAATTAATCAAACAGTCCTCAACCCTAGCTGCCAGCGCCAGCCAGCAGCTCACACGGTGGCCAAGGCAAGGGACAAAGCGATTAGCGATGAACCGCCTGGGGACCGTAGTGCGCACTCACTTTAAGGAACTGATTTGAAGCCTGGAGACGGCATGCTCTTCTGACTTGCCCAGTTGGAAGTGAGGCCATCTTTTTTTTTTTTTTTTTTTTTTTAAGGAAAGCACAGTATCAGAGCCGAGATAAGGAAGGAGAAAACTAATGCCTTTTAAACTGAGCTTTCATGTAAACAAATCAGCTGAGATGGCCGAGGGAAGCTGAGGTCTGTTTTCCCAAGGCTGCTGGCCTTTGATCCCACTGATTCCTAAGCTCTCAGACCCTCGTGGCTGCAGCTCACACCCTGGGCGCACAGTGAGCTGGGCCACCCCAGAACAAAAATGAGATGGCTGACTAAACGGGTCACGCTGCCTCAGAAATGGCATTACTGTTGACAAAGCAGGAAACTTCATGCAAGCCTAAGGATGCAAATAATGTGGCCAGTCCCAAACTGACCCGGCTGGGAGGCGCGCCGACACCCAAAGCAGGCCGTTCCTGAACACAGCACCTTCCCACCCTTTTTACCTTCCGGGGGATTTTTATTCTGATTATTCCAGACAACGAGCAGCTTGGACAGACTGGGCACCTTGGACACTTCAGTGATGACCCGGAAGAGGCTCTCCACTCGGTCGTAGGTGAGGACGATGGCGGTAAAACCTTGGGACTGTGGTGGAATCAGTGGGAGGAAGAGTGGGTTGCTCACACTGCCCCGCTTCTGCAAGAGAACAGATGAAGAGGAGTCAGCAAAGGGTCTAGTAACCATGGGGCTGATCTCTTTGCCACTGCTGTCAGCAGGCTAGAACGTGGGAGATTGGGTGGCTGTCACCGTGACCAGCCCAAGAGCTTTTGTACGGACTCTCTTTAATTAACTTTAGCTCTGATGCCACTAAAACAGGAGCAGAGAATGTCTGTGGCCCAGAAGAGATTGCTAGTTAAACCCAGCAGATGAAATACATGCATTATCTCCATTCTCTCCTCAAGTCCACTAAAGTGACCGTAGATCGGAAATAGAAATGGACGACGACAGTGAAATGAGAGAGGCCACCACAGCTGATGAGCAGCAGGGACGGGTTTCTGAAAGACTGGAAGGGTGAAGTGGTAACGGGGCAGGAGAATGAGAGTGGAAGCGAAGTGCCTACACAGAGGCGGGCCCACGAAGGCAAACCAGTCCAAACTGCTCAGCCCCCAAAGGCTCAGAACGAGTTCAGCAGGAACCTTGTGGGATAAGAGGAGGGGCAGGGCTGAAAACAGGAAGACTGGTTAAAAATATGTGTAAGGAGCAAAAAAAGACCCAGATCCACAAAACTTCCCTTCACCCAGCCACTCAGCCAGAAGACTCCTCTTCTTGCCCACCCCTGCAGGGGGAGGGAGGTATATTCTCTGGGGAACTGAAGCTCTGGGTATGGAAATGTGGACACCTTTGGAAGGAAAATGCAGGTGCCAGTCTACGTTCTGAGTGATGAGCCCCAGAGCCTTCTTGCTCTCCAGCTCCCCAAACGCTGGCGGCCATGGAGCCCACTTGCCCCTCTACCACCTCACAGCCCTCCGGGAAGTAGGCTTGCCCTCACACACAGAGCTTCCTTCCGGTGAGGTTTTCAGTGATTCCCTGGTAATTATGAACAGATCCTAGAATCACAGCCGTTTCAACAATATCTTCCGCATAATGACAGAAACCAAATGAACGAATAGAAAAGCAGGAACTCAGGGGAAACCAAGACAATAGAAAAGCAGAAGGACATTAAAACAACATCAATAAATTATATCCTCAGGAAGAGAATTTTTCATCCATGAAATAAGAATAAATTGCTATTTTTATTTAAAAAGATCTATCAAAGAACAGGAAAGAATACTTGAACGTTAAAAATACAGCTTAATTTTTTTTTAAAGCAGGATTGAAAGAAAAAGGCAACATATTCCAATCTAGTGAACAAAAAGGGCAGAGATAAAAAACAGGACAAAAAAGATGAGAAAATCCAGGAGGTCCAACATCCATCTAACAGGTTCCTGAAAAAGAAAACACAGAATACAGAAGAAAGAAAATTACCAAAGAAATAAGTTCTCAGAACAGTAGAAGAGACATGAGTTTTCACATTGAAAGGGCCCAAGAAGTAATTAGCGCACTGAATTTGAAAAAAACAAAAAAAACAAAAAGCAAAACAAAATAAAATATATCAAAGCACATCACTTCTGACACTGGGAATAAAGAGTGTGAATACATAAAATGCATAAATCCTGGCAAGGAGTTCTAGGTGTGAGTTCGCTGTATAATTCTCTCAATTTCCCTGTAGGTTTGAAATTTTCTCAAAATAAGGTTTAAAAAGTACTGACGGAAATTCAAATTCTTTGCTACCATTAAAACATTAAGTAACTTTTGGGGCGCCTGGGTGGCGCAGTCGGTTAGGTGTCCGACTTCAGCCAGGTCACGATCTCGCGGTCCGTGGGTTCGAGCCCCGCGTTGGGCTCTGGGCTGATGGCTCAGAGCCTGGAGCCTGTTTCTGATTCTGTGTCTCCTTCTCTCTCTGCCCCTCCCCCGTTCATGCTCTGTCTCTCTCTGTCCCAAAAAATAAATAAATGTTGAAAAAAAAAAAAAACATTAAGTAACTTTTGATACAGTAACATAAGCAAAAATATTTTTGTACTGATAATAAGATTGTTAAAACAACTTTGTATTTTTAAACAGCTTTTGTGAGATATAATTCATATAATATACAATCCACTCATTTAAAGCATAAAATGGTTTTTGGTACATTAATTTTTTTAAACCATGGCCAAACATAACATGAAATCAGCATTTTAAGCATTTTTAAGGGTACAGTTCAGTGGCATTAATTACATTCACATTCATATTCTGTGAAAAGTCCAGGACCAGACTTCATCTCTGCCACAAGGTGGCTGAACCTGAAATGTCCTATCTGTTATTCTGGCCGCTTACACTTCCCTAGCGTCTCTCCTACTCTGGCATTCCCAAGGTTCCCCTTCAACCTCATCCCTATCACTGATGGACACCCATCACCACGTAGAGGACAACAGCTGTTTGCCAGATGGAACAGTGTGGGACGGGAAATGTACACAAACACATGGAACACACATGGGATGGGAACTCACAGAGACTGAATGGGATTCCAGGAGTCCTAATGTAATCAGGATATTAATGCCAGAACGTCCACAACAGGCCATAATTCGATTTCGCAGCCACGACACACGATAGGAAAGGCTATCTGCTCAATGTGGACTTTCTGTGTCTATGACCTCATGCTCTGACATTAAGCTGCAGTCTTAGCAAGGTGCCTGGACTTTAGCACTGGTACCCTAGCATCTCATCACATTTGTAGGAACCTCTTTTACTTTTCGACCCCAAATCTTATTATTTTATCCTCCTGACTTTTATGGAAACTGGTCAGTAAGTAGCCTTATGCTTAAGTCACAACTAATCCTGAAGGTGCATGGCCTCTCTGCCATCACCATCCCAACCCACTCATTTACTCCTACCAACACAATACTCTCTTACGCCTGAAAAGCACCCCTTTAAATGGAAAAGGCAGAAAAACAGATTTTTTGAAGAAGGGTGTAAAATAATGTAATGTGTGATGAAAGATTTACCGAGTATTTACTAAGCGTTAGGCACTGGGCTTTACACGTATTATCTCACTTGAGTTTCACTCACAACAACCCCCTGGTAGACACAGTTATTCTTATTTTGCACATGATGAAACTATAAGATTAAAAATAGTGAATGATGTCTAATCATTTGCTTTACCAGAAAGAAAGAAAGAAAGAAAGAAAGAAAGAAAGAAAGAAAGAAAGAAAGAAAGAGAGGAAGGAAGGAAGGAAGGAAGGAAGGAAGGAAGGAAGGAAGGAAGGAAGGAAAGAGGGAGGGGAGGAGGGAGGGAGGGAGGGGAGGGGAGGGGAGGGGAGGGAATGATGCTAGGTGCTCAAGGTTACACAATGTGTAAGCTGTCTAGCTCCAGAACACTGGATGGTGGAGGTTCACGGCCCTTCCCCATGCCCTCCTCCTCCGAGTCCAAGGCAGGCATCACCCCATTTTATAGACTCTAGAAAATGGAACTGTGGGGAGCACCAGAGTTTATTACTTCTAACTCTTCTCTGAGACAAAAATGCTGGAAGTTCTTTATCCTTGATAATCACATGTGGGCAAGAGCCCACCCCAAACTCTACGATTTCCAAAGGTATGTGGAATAAATACGTAACACTGACACAGAGGAAACACATAAATTAAAAAAGGTAAATACATCTCTAACACAGAAGGAAAAACTATTAAAACCCCAACAAAATGAGGTCTGTTCTTGGGAGAAGTGGGGAATGCTAGCACACTCGAACGCCTGTATGACATTAAAAGGAGAGGAAAGTTCCCTGGGAGATGCGAAGCTTGGTTTCGGAAAACGAATCCCTTGGAATTTAAACTGAGGCACCCCCTGAAGGGCATCACAGCTCTGATTTCAAGGCACTGCCAGGAGAAGGAACCAGAGTCTCTGGCAAGACGACAGATCGGGTCTCATCCCCTTGGCCAGCTCCATTTGGGAAGTGGAGGGCGGTGGAAGGGGAGGAGGAGAGGCGGGGAAGGGGGTGGGTAGGACCCGACGGTAACTTGTCTTGGTGTTCTACTTTTCCACACTACTCACTTGCACACCAGGTAAGGCTTGAGAAGGCGGAAGCAGAAGAGGCAGCCTAGGGGCACCTGGGTGGCTCAGTCGGTTAAGCGTCCGACTTCAGCTCAGGTCATGATCTCACAGTCCGTGAGTTCGAGCCCCGCGTCGGGCTCTGTGCTGACCGCTCAGAGCCTGGAGCCTGCTTCAGATTCTGTGACTCCTTCTCTCTCTGCCCCTCCGCCTCTCATGCTCTGTCTCTCTCTCAAGAATAAATAAACATTAAAAAAAAAAAAGGAAAGAAAAGAAGAGGCAGCCTAAAGGGGAGGCAGCACGCCAAGGAGCAGAATAGGGACTGAAATCTTACCAACACTTCCCCATGAAATACAGATCTCGAGATGAGCACAGACCTAACCCAGAAGCGGCCGAGCATGTATTTACTGGGATACGGGCTCGGTGCTTTACTGTAGGACATACCGCCAGGGTTATATGAGGCAGGTGACTTCAAAACCTGAGTCGACATGTTTGGGGTCAGTTTGGGAACTGTGTGTCCTTAATAGGAATCTAGATTCTTTCACTTAGCAGCAGTGTGACCGGGGCAAAGTACTTAACCTCTCTTGCACCTCAGTTTCCATAATTGTGATAATAATACTTCTCCAGCTATGAGAAATAATAAGAGTAATAATTTCTAACAATGTTATTTACATTTCCTAATTAGCATTTCTTAACAACCAAGAGGCGGTTAATAAAAGTAAATATTTAATATATGTAAAGTACCTCACACATGCAAGCATTCGATGAATGGTAACCAATGGTTGACCCTGTGGGAGTAGTAATTTCTCTGGGCTTTACTTTACACATGTCTTGAAAGTGGGATGGCAATTGTCAAGTCTCTTCCAGCAAGAAGTCTATTTACTTTTTTTTTTTTTTTCAACGTTTATTTATTTTTGGGACGGAGAGAGACAGAGCATGAACGGGGGAGGGGCAGAGAGAGAGGGAGACACAGAATCGGAAACAGGCTCCAGGCTCTGAGCCATCAGCCCAGAGCCCGACGCGGGGCTCGAACTCACGGACGGCGAGATCGTGACCTGGCTGAAGTCGGACGCTTAAC